GTCATTAAATTGTTCAACAACGAGGAAATTGTGCATGACACAGTGCAGTGTGTTGTAGCGTGCCGAGGAAGTGGCTATGTCCAGCATTCGACCTCTATAAGTGCTGATGATGATGAATCAAGATTCCATAAATAATGAGCGTTCAGTCATCACCTTCCGATCGATTTCGAACATAGTGGCCAGTCTAACTAGATTAGCCCATTACAGGGGGATATACAGGGTGGAATTTCGTAATGCCACCTGTAAGGGGAAGTCCTCTTAACACTTAAGATAGAATACTTTACTCAAAGAATCAATCAATCAATAATGATGAAATTTCTCTAACAAACTTCATAAATTTAATGAAAGGAAAACAATGAACGATCGATGCAATAAAAGTACAGGGTCCAAAATTGACAGATTTTAGTAGGTTCGATTACCGTGTGAGGAAAGCTAATTAAAAAAAATCTTTGTACGCAGTTTTGTTTCCTTTTAAAAATAAAGGAATGTTTTCCTTGAGTGAATTTTTCTATCTTAAGTATTAAGAGTACTTTCCCTTCAGGTGGCATAACAAAATTCCACCCTGTTTATAGTGCATCTACTACTAGGTATTATAAACCCGAAGAGTTCTTCTGATTGTCTGAATGCTACTATCAGTCAGATTACACATAGGCCGCGTTTATAAAAGGCTAAAATCAGATGATTACACTTTATGAATCGAAATAAAAATCTTGATTATTTGGAACAGGGCAGTTCCGAATAGAAATCGGCTGACATATCCAGGCCGAATGCTTTACGTAACCGTACAATAAGTGGATCTAATATTTAGAAGACGTTTTGTTTACCATCTCATTTTGTTTATGTAAACAGACGTACTTACGTACGCGTTTTTATATAAGCAACTATCATTGCGTGTGGAGAAAGCTCTGTAACGTTTTACAAACGCTATTAACGAAAGCGCAGCTAATGTTTACATTTAAAAATACGCAAGTAAGTACCTAATATGGACAGTAAGACTAGGTACCAACCACAGAACATATAAAGTTATATGATCTATGGTACCAACATCCATATTTTCAGTTACTTATCCCACTGTTATGGATACAGGCATTACGAGTATCAAAAGTACCAAATAGGTATAAGAAGAATTGTTTTTTTGGGTATCGGTGTGTGTGTAATGTGGTTGTGACAATGTATGTTTGTAAACGCACCCATGACAGACAATAAATTTCTAGGGGTTAGATTAAAAAAGCTATTGTTTATAGTTAGTCCACATTCCTATGAGGCCACGCTTAAGAAAGTTAGGTGATGTTTAAATTCCACTTTCTGCTACATTTTCATAATTTATTATTATGGAATCCAGTATGCGAGCAGCCAGATCACCTGATGGTAAGCAACCGACGCCGCCTATGGACACCTGGAACACCAGAGGCATTACAAGTGCGTTACCGGCCTTTTGGGGATTAGGAATTTGACGATTGTGGAAGATTCGGGGATTGGGGAAATTGGAGAAGTTGGGGAGGTGGGGGGGGGTCTCCGATCGCGCCGCCCCATTCGTACCGAAGCATGGCTCTCCCATACTTAAAATTCATATTTTCATGCACAAATCGTCGTAAAAATATAAAATTTCACTTATAACTTGCCGGTAAATGCCGTTACGAATAAAGTAAATAAGGCTACCTATAATAAAGTGTTCCAGTTGTCAGCACTCGTTCTACCGTGACAAGTAAATAACTGGTTAACTGGGTGATAATACGGTGGCGACCACCTAATCAGGTGTGACCATTGACAATCATGTTATTTGTTTTTTAAAATAAATTATATAGAATAGAAGACTTTACTCTGTAGTAAGTTAGGTTAGAAGCCGTTTTTTTAATTCAATTTTAATGATTTTGAACGAATATAGGCGCTAAGAACGACGTTTTTTGATCGTTGTTTAGATTCTTAATAGAACTGCTTGCATTGCAGATGCTTGTATCGTCTGAATAAATAAAATATATTCCAAAACTCGCGGAGTACGTACGTAGGTACGTGAATGTACTGAGAAAACCTCTACTGCGTAACCCACGACATCGCCGCGACCGCGCACGCTGCTCATGAGGAAGAGCCCCTCTGTGGCTCGAAACTAATAGAGCTTTTCCCAGTTTATTGACGTGAGTAACCTTAGTTAATTTAATATGTGTCAGCTATTATAAAAAATATCTTTCAATTTTAAAACAACAATAAAAATGATATTCGACCGTAAGGTTAACCGGAGCTTTTCGCTCAGGAAATTCAAAATGGCAGCGTAACCAAAAGCTGTGGTTATTGTAAACTATGTTAGCTAATTTAATTTCAATGCGTAACTAATATTCAGTACTATTCAGTAGTAAACCAGTAACTAACTACTAAGGCCTTGTGGCTTTACGTCGAGCACCAAAACACGTTGGGCCGGGCCCCAAATAATTACCCGCGTGTTTTCACAACCGCCCACCATGTTCGCAGAAACGCAGTTCAACCGTGCGATACTAATTAAACGTTGCAAATTCAAAATAAGTACTCAATTTATGTCGTAGATATGTTTGAGTATTTGTACCTTATATTATGATTAATTACGTATATAATATATTTCATAATCTTCGAAAGATAGCGACGTGGCATGGGTCACGGGGTACCGTGAGTGAGACCCAAAGGACAACTATTTGTGTGATTCACAAATTATATCTTTGTTTAATATGTATATGAGTAATGACGTTACGTTTCTAGAAGTACAGAAGAAAATCACAGTGTCGAGAAGTATAATAGAAATCATCAAACATGTGCCTATTAGGTACCTACGAGGCCGCTAAATGGAAAATATTAGGTACCTATTCTGAAATATGTATCCTGAAGTGTAATATAAGGTGTACCGTACTATATCGTGCGTCTTAAATAATAAAAAATAACGTAATCAACGACTGTTACATTGTTAATAAACAATTAGCGTTGTCTAGCTTTGTAATTTATTATGGATCGCGATTATTATTTGAAGCCAAAGCCGTCTGCGCTCAGTTTTAATTTTTTGTGAACAGAATGTAGAAAACAGATGTTATCCGTTTAAATTTTTTGTGTTACAGCTTGTTATTCCCATCCTAAGTCTATGTCCTATAATTATATCAAAGTTGAGACTTTAGAATGTTCTAGACATGGTACAATACTTAGGTATACAAAGACAATAATCTTAAATTTAGACGTCCAGTATGGCACATTTAATTCAAATGAATCTTGTTATTAGCAAAGTGCCAGAATTCTCGTGTAAAACAGTTTTCCAGTAAATATTTTGTTGGATAACTAGTTTTTTCTGTATTGTGTCGGATATCTGGAGCTACGTCTGGTGTGACGTATGCGCGTGTTTTGCGCTCCTGTTAATACTGGGAAAGTAACAGCAAATACTTTGGCATTCAGAGTGCATCTTGTGTTCCAAGAGTTTTAATGTTCTTAAACTTTTTTCGATATCACCAACAAATAAAAGGTGAATACTTACGAAGATTATAAAACGAAAACTGATAGAGATTTTCTGATAAACGTGTCTTAAGTTGTGTATCTTGTGTCGTGTGGAACGCTTTTGCCCACAGCTGTTCATCATTCATCATTACAGTTTAATACCAATGTCCCTTTGATGCGTTTCACATAATCGATCTTAAAGAAAAAAACAAAACCATTTGCCAAAAATTTTCATCCAAATATTTTCGATCTCTTGAGTCAAGTATGCAAGGACAGTGATGTCAAATAAACACACTCACTATACTGGCCGACCACTGAGCACTGTTTAACAACCGCTCGATATAAAAATGTTCAACGCTTTTCATGAGACCATCAAGGATGCAGTTTCCGCTCGTGGTTTACCAAACTTCGGTCTAAAACTGTCGCATTGCCCATTACACGTTGTAGAGTAACACACGGATAGCTTCCTACCTATCTGTCCTTCAATTTCGCATCCAAAGCCACTGTAAAGACCTAAACACAAGTGGTTCGGACGCACACATTAATGTTCGCATTCGTATTGTGAATAAACATCGTAATGTAGCAGATAAACTAGGATGGGAGCCAAGACGAAAATATGCCACGGCGCGTTTTTCCATTGGATTTTGCGCTTTGGAAACGAACAGTAGTCGCCGCAGAACATACAGACATTCATTGTTAATCAGATGGAATGTGATAAGAGAGGCGACTCCTATCACTTATGCTGGCGTCCGATGCTGCACGGCCGCAGAATAATGTATTAGTCACGCTTGAGATTCATTACATGTACCAGAATACATCTCTAATGACGACACTTTCTTCTAAAAGAGAACGTTGCACAGAGGCGCGGCGTTGTTGTTCATGTATCGCTGTGTACAGCAGTCTAGTTACAGGTCACTGGCGAGGGTGTGGTGTGTATTGAGGTATAGAAAGCGTATGTACCTATCTGTGTGTGTGTTGTGTTCATTGTGTACCAGTGTCCCGTGTTTGTGTATGTCTTGCAAGGTCACACGTGGAGTGGTCATGTACGAGACAGACAGGTCGATGCACACGCGTCAAGGTGGGCACGGAAATTTTCATTCAACCGACTGTTCTATTTACATCGCCGATTGCCACAAATATTGTAAGTGGCGCATCGCGCGCGCACTTCCTCCACGCTGACGTAGGGAACGTCGGACCTTCGCGTGCCATACACTCGGACCACACCAGATATTAAGGTTTACGAGCCGACAGCCTCTTCTGTTCTGTTTCGTTCCCGGAATACTTTCGTACATCCGGCTGTCAGATATTAGATGGACAGAAGAGACGGCCGCCATGAGGAGTATCTGGTGGTGGGTGAATGACAGGCGAGGTGCGAGGTGCGAGATGCGAGGTGCGAGGGCGGTGCGCGCGCCAGGAGCTGGTGTTTACGTTGTGTTCACTGTCAAACGTGTTATCTGTTATGTGAGCAGGTGCGTGGCGCTAGCGTCGCGGCGTGCGCGCGCCGGCTATATTTGTGTGCGCGCCGTCGTTACATAAAACTGTCGAGTGTCGATCCTCACCTCCTCTATCTTGAGGCTGGTGCGGACCACCTTGCGGGTGACCGCGCTCTCGTATGTCTCCTCGATAGTCTCCGCCATGGTTGCGAGCGCGGGCGCAGCGGGCGACGCGCGCGATAGTTGCGCCGGTACTGAGCGGCGCGCGGTTATTTTTAGTCAGCGGCGTGGTACGGCCGCCTCACAGTGGTGTAACTGGCACTCGGGAATCGGGGTGGCGAAGCCGATGGCGGGCTGAGCGATACTGCCCGCCGGCCTTCGGTCGCGGTGGCGGTTAGGGGCGCTGCGCACTCGCCGCCCGCCTGCCTTGTGACGCCGCACTCGCAGCCTCGATGACGTCACTCTTGTTGTTGCACTTTATTAGGTTCACTCGAAAACACTTTTTCACAAAACAATAACACTCACTTTATGCTATTACTGTCACTCCTTATAGTTGTTTGCCGTTGTTCCACTGTTAAGTACCTAGTTAGCTCTTGTTTATCCAGATTTTCAGTTTCTTTCTGATTCACTCTAAAATCTGTCTTGAGGGTTACTTACAATCGATCACTTTTTCGCAAATCAGACCACAATAGGATGAGTAGTCAGAGCACTGATACCAATATAATACCAATGTAAGAAAATTTTAAAATTAATCGTAATGTTAGTTTCTTTCAATTACTGGATAAATTGTTTTCGTGGAAATCATGAAAATGTAAGTTGTCAATATATATACTATACGCTGTAATAATAATCTAACAATACTTTGGTAAAAACAAAATAAAGTGGGTAGTTTTAAGGGAATTTGATGATACTTGCAGAGTCATCTAGTGGCAACCGACATAACTAAATGTGTACTTTGCGTAAAGAATTTACTAGATGGCGCTCGAAGTACGATCATGCAATAAAATTGTGTCGGAGTCAGTCAACTACTTGTAAATAGTCAGGTAATTATAACAAATCGATCGATACCATCGATACACAAGATAGTCATAAAAGAGGTTTGTAGCTTTCCATATGGTTTGATGAACTGTATCCGCTGTAAGCAATAAAACGTAGATATGACCTACCTACCTATGACCTATCCTATCCTATGTCATAAAGCTTATATAAAATTGGTAAGTACCATTTTTATTTTTATTTCTATGTTATGTTGAAATAACTTATTATTTACAGTACAGACATACATACTTACAGACATTTTTTTGTCTATTAAACTTAGAATGTAATGTTAAATATTTTCCAGATGTAAAACTAAACAAAAATATTTCATTTTCTAGCTTATATTTTCGACTTTATGTCAATACAATAAAGATGTAATAGAGAAACTAGACAGAAAAGGATACCTTGACCTGCTGGGGCTGCTGGCCACCGTACAATCATGATTTTCGTCGACAAATATTTACATAGGTAAATCTTCTTCCTAGTCGTTCTCTTCATTACTGAAGGTCGTGTCTAGTCTGGTGCACGCGTCACTTGATGCACAACCCTCCTCCGAACGCCCCTGTCCTCTGCGGCCTTTATGGCTTGTGGAACTGTCAGGCCGGTTAGGTTTTTTACAGCATCCAACCACCGGGTAGGTGAGCGACCACGAGGTCTTTTCCCGTTAACCTGACCACCAACCACAAGCTTCAGGCAGGCATACGGAGGCACCAACGTCTGACTGATGTGACTCCTATGGTGTTGTGGGTGTCCATGGGCGGCGCTGATCGCTTACCATCAGTTGATCCATCTCATTTGCCTCATATTCACCAAGCACCACATTTCGAAGGCGTAAATTTTTGCTTTCTCAGTTTTCCTCAGGGGCCAGGATTCGGCGACATACAAGAAAATTGAGAAAACCGGCGTACGCACCAGCCTCACTTTGGTTTGGCGATGGGTAAATAAACAATGATAAAAATGAAATAATCAGCGCAAAATACGTTCAAATCTTTATTTCATTACACAAACATGCAACATATAAATTACATAATAAATATGTACGCCTAACTCTATGTATAAATTTCGAGATACATTCTTTTATACATCTGTATATATCACTTAGCGTGTATGAAGTGTCCGTGTATCACATGTTCCTGGGTCCTACCCTGGAATGAGAATCAACCTCTTTGTTCCGACTGTTTAACGGAGACTCCATAGATCACGCTATAATGTCACTTTTCAGCTAATACTTAAATATATTTTATTGTATTTTGTTTGCGCCAATAGCTGATGCTGCTGCTTATTCCACTTGGCTGTAAAAAAAGAAAACAAATTAGAAATGGGCTTATAAAAATCCAAATAACAATTATAAATTACTATGTACAGTTTTGCAATAATTAGTGATCAAGGCACAAAAAATAAGTTCTGAGTGTAGTGACCATGTCACGTAAGGTCAGTTGAGCAATGAGCATATGTATTTGGTCGAGTGACACCGGGTGGCTTTTACTCTGTAAGTGTCTGATAGTGACTCAGGCGACCCGCTGCATTTTTTTTTCGCTTAAGATCGGCAATCAGTAGCAAGACTATAAATAAACAGATGAGTTGATTGGAATCTTGATTAGAAGACGAAGAGGCCATCGTCTCATCAGCCTTTTTAGAAGACATCCTTCCTCTTTAATCTTTTCACTATGGCTGAAGGATATAAGAGTCGACCCGCTTCATGGCGAATTTTTATCACTTTTATCCACCTTGAGGTCAAAAAAATGTTGAGTGTTGTAATACTAACATGACACGCATGGTGTTGGTGAACCCGGAGCCTTGCTTCCATCCGGTGACGACGACGACGCTGTCTCCTGTCTTGATGAAGCCGCGCGCGCGACCGAACTTCAGTCCACTTTGTACGCGGTTGTCTACGTCCTTCAGCCAGTCTTGTGCCGCGGGATCTGTATAAATACAATGACGTTTGCTTTAGTAAAGGCTGTAAAAATAATTTGATCTAGTATTCAAGACTGAATTACTTTAAAGATGATTAAATTATAGACGACTTTCGAGGCGAAATGTTTTAATACTCGTATTGTTTTAGTTAATTAATTGTTGACATTCAAAAGTGCCTTTCTGGTCTAATTGAAATAAATGATTTTCACTTTGACTTTGACTTCGACGATTTTAAATTTTGAATGACGATTATATTATGAACCTATGGAACGATTTGAAGTTATTTTAATTCTGAAGTTCCAGATTAAAAATAGTACCCATGCCATATAATTCAGAGTCTAGCCTAATTTAGCCTCAAAAATGGGGGACATCTCAGTATCTCTCCCACTTCCAATAACTACTTTTGCTTGTATTTTTTTTTTATTATTTTATTTAATTTCTTTTCTCCACGGACTCTTGTCCGTGCCCTTGTCATTCAATTAAATTTTCTTTTATTGTACAGTCAAAATTAATTGGTACAAAAATCTTACGTGCTACATTTACCACATTTTATTTTTGCTTGTATTTAAATAACATATAGTTGGTCCCTTCGTACCTTGGTAGACGATGGGCAGCACGCCGCGGTAGAGATGCGCCTGGCGCGCAGTCTGCGCCTGCCTGGTGACTGCAATGATGGGACAGCGCGGCCTGTACTTGCTCAGTAAGTACGCGGACTTGCCGCTCGTTGTGATGACTACGATGGCGGCCGCCAGGCACTTGGTGGACGCTTCCACCGCCGCGATAGCCGTGGAGTGCGCTGGCTCAATTGGGGGTTTCACCTACAATTTGAAGAAATATTCGTTTAGTCTTGTGGGCAACACAGCTTATTCAAACAGTACTTTAAGTTTATTTCCTTTATTTTTACTATTTGAATTCAATACTCCATTTGAATGTCAAAAATAAACATTTCTTTGAATTTCTTGTGTTTTATTGACAAACGGAAAATATCTCAAAATATTCCTTAATTTAAAGGGGAATCTTCTCTGATCTCGTCGGTCTCCGCCGCCCAAATGTGAGAAAACTACTATTTTACAAAAAATATAATACATATGTATAGATTTTTTTCGTATTGTATAAGTTCTGAAGCACAAACAGCAGGTAACCAATCTCACCTCAACGACCAGGTCATTGAACAGCTGTCTGTGCCAGATGGCAGCCTCGGCCTCCTTGCAGATGTTAGCCATGGTGAGCACGCACTCCAGCGGGTAGTCTCCCTTGGCGGTCTCTCCAGACAACATGACACAGTCCGCGCCGTCCAGGATCGCGTTGGCAACGTCCGAGATCTCAGCACGCGTGGGACGGGGCTTCTTCACCATGGATTCCAACATCTGGGTAGCGCAGATTACTGGTTTTCCAACCTGGTGAACGATGGATAATTATAATTAATGACATGTCACAATTTATCAAGTGCTCGAGTGTATACCACGGGCCGGAAGACGTAACGTGAGTTTTGGGCGAGAGTCAATGGATGCAAGTGGCGAGTTGTTCTTGTTGACTCGACGTGTAAGACAAAGGTGGCCATTGTTCAGCTGTGGACGTCTTCCGATGGCTGGTAATGATGATGTCTTAGTATTCGTCAAAAATATGCTTATAATAATGAATCCCAAGTCTATATAAGCAGTAAAAAAACATTCCTCAAGGAAGATTAAATTGCTTACCCTGTTGCAGCGAGCAATCATTGTCTTTTGAGCGAGGAACACTTTCTCTGGTGGTATCTCAATACCAAGGTCACCCCGGGCGACCATGATGCCGTCGGAAGCCTGGAAGTGATATAACACAAGTTAAAAAAAATTTGAACACGGAATCTTTTCAGCATAATTACATTTCATACATTTCAATATAAAGTTGAAAAACATACATTGCATAAGATTTTATATTAAAGTCAACAAAACAAAGAGGAAAATGTTAATTTCCTTTCACAATAATATCAAGTTTTCATTTCATTCGATTACATCTCATTTAAAACAACGATACAAATATGTTACTGCAAATTGATACCCTTAGGAAAGATTTATGAATATAACCTTGTAGGATGTTCAAAGTCATTCATTATTTATCAGTGATTGTGCACACCGCATCGAGTATCTAGTTACAGCTGCATTGTATTACTGCGGCCTACATACTGCAAGTGGGTGTCTTATCCGCATGGCATGCAAATTGCACTCATCCGCCAATTTTCGTCCACTACGTACGAGAATCCGACCAACTATACAATGTATTCATAAGTCAATTGTCGTGGAATCTTTTCTAATGTGAGTTATATAACTGAAGTTGAGATAAGGTCTGGGAAAATAAATAACTATTGAAAGTCAATTAAACTATACACCAGCTATTATTTTGTTCACATGTTTCAGATATTCTTTACATGCTCCTCTAGTTATATATTACCCATACACGAGTAAATTGTGCACCCTTTTGAAGACAGCAAAAAAATCTTCTCAATAAAGTAACTAAACCTATCATTATGTCGTTAATGGAGACTCGCAATACTTGGGAAGTTACAAGTGCGTTGCCGGACTTTTGGGTGATAGGGATATGATAATAATGGAGAATTGGGTACTAGCCAACTAGTTCAATTCAATACTTTTTTCGAACTGTCAAAAACTACAGTTTCCTATGAATTTTATACGAGATTCATTGATCGATTGACGTCACGTTAGTATATTAATTAATGAAAGTGTGATTTTTTTAATATTTAATTTTGTATTGAACAGTCAAAATCATTTATTTTTGATTAAGGCAAGTACCCAATTGGAGATAAATAATGGAGATAGTACTTACGGTAATGATCTCATCAAGGTTGACCATGCCCTGATGGTTCTCGATCTTGGAGATGATCTTAATGTTCTTTCCCTTCTCACCGAGGATGTTGCGGATCTCCTGCAGGGCGGCGCCGTTGCGGATGAATGAGGCGAAGATCATATCCACCTGTGGGCAAAGATATCGTGATTATTTAGGATGTTAGGTGAGGTATAAAGAAGAAAGTAATAATACACATGCATGGCGTCACTTATTATATCCTCAAAGGGATAGCCGAAGTGCAAACACAATGCAATTTTGGCATTTATTTCTATCTATGAAGTCCACATGTCAACTCATTCGACATTTTTTTTATGGGGGGAAAATCATCGAATGCCTGCTCCCGCCTGGGTGAGGCGAGAGAGAGTGTCAGACTCTTACTGACTAAAAACCACCCCGTTCCTTCTCCTGCACGTCGAGCCGGAGCCCCGGTAACCCGTTAGGTTCTCCGCGACACCTTGTAGACATTAGGCCTTATTATTTAATTATTTATTTATATATGCTTTATTGTACACATTTATGTAGCTCAAAAGAACAAATAATCAAGTAAACATGCGTACAATGGGTGGTCTTATGACACAATAGTGATTTCTTCCAGACAACCTTTGGATGGAAATATTTATAAAAAAACCAGATAAGTATGGGGTAGTTAAGTGTACAATAAAAAAAAGACAATAAAAATACCTACCTAGGCCTTACTTAGTTGCAAAGTATTTATAACGATATTTATGTTATGTGATAATGATAGCTGTCCTCAGTTTCATGGTCATCCTGATACGTAACATATAAATATACAAAGTGATAACAAGAACATAAACCCAACAGACAAACAACTAATTACAAATAACAATGAAGCTTCAAATTATAGAAGTCGTTGCGAATATTTTTGATTCTGAATCACAAATGCTTTTTTACTGAATCTACAATCGTTAGTTCGATTATTTTTCATAACA